TCCAGGCCATGGAAGAGCTCAAAAAGGATCTTGAGAAGCAAGTAAGAGAAGTAAAGGAAAAACTGGGAAGAGAAATGAGAGTGGTGCAAGAAAAAAAACAAGTTGACAGCTTGCTAAAGGAGACCCAAAAAATTACTGAAGAAAATAACACCTTGAAAAATAGCCTAACCCAAATGGCAAAAGAGGTCCAAAAAGCCAATGAGGAGAAGAATGCCTTAAAAAGCAAATTGGCCAAATGGAAAAGGAAGTCCAAAAGATTACTGAAGAAAATACTTCCTTAAAAATTAGAATGGAGCAATTGGAAGCTAGTGACTTTATGAGAAATCAAGACATGTAAAACAAAACCAAAAGAATGAAAAAATAGAAGACAATGTGAAATATCTCATTGGAAAAACAACTGACCTGGAAAATAGATCCAGGAGAGATAATTTAAAATTATTGGACTATCTGAAAGCCATGATCAAAAAAAGAGCCTAGACATCATCTTTCAAGAAATTATCAAGGCAAACTGCCCTGATATTTTAGAATTAGAGGGTAAAATAGAAATGAAAAGAATTCACCGATTGTCTCCTGAAAGAGATCCCCAAAGGAAAACTCCTAGGAATATTGTAGCCAAATTCCAGAGTTCCCAGGTCAAGGAGAAAATATTGCAAGCAGCCAGAAAGAAACAATTCAAGTATTGTGGAAACACAATCAGGATAACACAAGATTTAGCAGCTTCTACATTAAGGCACCGAGGAATATAATTCCATAGGGCAAAGGAGATAGGATTACAGCCAAGAATCACCTACCCAGCAAAACTGAGTATAATCCTTCAGGGGAAAAAATGGATTCAGTGAAATAGAGGACTTTCAAGCATTCTTGATGAAAAGACCAGAGCTGAATAGAAAATTTGACTTTCAAATACAAGACTCAAGAGAACATGAAGAGGTAAACAGGAAAGAGAAATCATATAGGACTTATTAAGATTGAGCTGTTTACATTCCTGCATGGAATGATGATATTTGTAACTTATGAGACCTTTGTCAGTATTAGGGTAGTTGGAGGGAAAAAATTATATGTATGTATACATAGATAGATAAATAGAGGGCACAGGGTGAGTTGAAGATGAATGGGTGATATCTGGAGAATAAAAATAAGGGGCAAGAGAGGTTTATACTGGGAGAAGGAAAAGGGAGAGGTAGAATGGGGTAAATTATCTCACATAAAACAGACAAGAAAAGGCTTTACAGTGGAGGAAGTGGGGGAATGTGAGAGGGAATGAATGATTCTTATTCTCATCAGATTTGGCTTAAGGAGGGAATAATATACACCCTCAATTTGGTATAGAAATCTATCTTACCCTACAGGAAAATAGGGAGGGAAGGGGACAAGAGAACATGGGAATGCTAGAGGGGAGGGCAGATTGGGGGAGGGGGTAATCAGAAGCAAACACTTCTAAGGAGGGACAGGGCCAAAAGAGAAAATAAAATAAGTAGGGGGCTGGATAGGATGAAGGGAAATATAGTTAGTTTTCCACAGCATGACTACTATTGAAGTGTTTTGCATGACTACACATGTATAACCTGTATCAAATTGCTTCCCTTCTCAATGAGGGTAGGTGGGGAGGGAGAAAGGGAGAAAATTTGGAACCCAAAGTTTTAAAAACGAATGTTAAAAAATTGTTTTCACATGCAATTGGAAAATAAGATATACAGGAAATGGGGTATAGAAATTGGTCCTGCCCTACAGGAAAATTGAAGAGGAAGGGGATAAGAGAAGGGGGGGCAGAGATAGAAGGGAGGGCAGATTAGGGGAAAGGTTATTCAGAATGCATGCCATTTTGGGGTGGGGGAGGGATGAGATGGGCGGAAAATTTGGAACTCAAAATATTGTGGAAGTGAATGTTGAAAACTAAAATAAGTTAAAAATAAATTAAATTTTAAAAAAGTTTAAAAAAGAGGTCCATAGCACATAAAAGATTAAGAACCCCTACATTAGCATCTGAAAACTCAGCAAACATGTTCATAATTAGACTCATTATTCCCCCAAACCTGCTCCACAAAACTTGTCTGTTTTGTTGAGGGTACTACCATGTTGTGGGCACCTAGGCTTGCTGCAACTTTGGAGTCATCTTTAACTCTTCACTCTCAATTCCCCATTTTACTTGTCTAAACTTGTTAATCTGAACTTGGCAGCATCTCTGGTATCCGTCTCCTTTAACACTGCCGCTACCCTAGTTCAGTTCCTTATCACTTCTCACCTAGACTATTACGATAACTTTCTAATTACTCTCCCTGCTTCCATCCTTTTCCTTTCTCAAGCTATCCTCCGAATTAATATTAACTAAAACATAAATCTGACCTTGTCACTCTGCTGCTCAAAAATCTGTAATGTCGCCGTAGTGTATGTCTGGCTCCCACTAGCCTTTCCAGACATTTGTATTTACCACATTTGTATGCACCCCTCACTCCCCCCCCATTCCAGCTAAACTAGCTTACTAATTGTTCACCAAATTTCACATTCATCTCCTGCGTCTGTGCCTTTACACGAGCTGTCATCCATACTTGGAGTGTACTCCCTTTTTATTTCTACCTTTTTGAATCCCTAGGTTCTTTAAAGGCTCAGGTTGACTTCCCAGCTACTCACTGAAGATAGTCCTGTTTCCCCCACTTCTTAGTGATTGCTCTCATTTCTAATGATCTTGTATTTCCTTACTATGTACTTACTGGTTTTGTTCCCCTAACCAAATCTTAACTCCTTGGCTACTTGAATGCAGGAACTATTTTTTTTTATTGTCAATACTTAGCACAATACCTTTAAGCAGACACTTAAACAAGGTGTTGCAGAATATATAGGCAGGAGGATGTGAGGTACAAATTCTGCCTTAGATAGTTGTTAGCTGGGTGCCTTTGGCAAGTCATTTAACCATTGTCTCAATTTTCGTGTCTGTAAAATTAGGATAATAGCATCTGCCTCATAAGGTTGTTGTGATAAAATCAGATAACAAATGCAAAGCACTTTCTAAAATCTTCAAATACTATATAAGTATTGTTACTTATGTCTGTTGAATAGGCCGCTCCAATAGAACTATTAATTGTCACATTTAATTCTAGAGGCATGGCAGCAAAAGTAAAGTGAAAAACTATGCTGCCCTTCCTTTCAGAGTAATAATCCTGTCCCCCAGATGTTTTGAGAAGAAAATCAGTAAGTGCTTTTTAAAAAATATATATATTTTTATGCTTTGTAGAACATTGCCCCCATTTTTCACTTATTTCATTTGGGTTTAATTGCTGGGGGGAGAAAAGGCAATCTAAAATCTAATTTTGCTACTGATTTCTCTATAAACTTTGGTTAGTCATTTTAGTTAAAAAAAAAAGATGAAAATCTCAAATGAATGGAAAAGAATGATGATGGTGGCAGACTAGGACTCAGTTTATTTTAGAGTAAAAATATATAAAAGGGGAAACTACAGGTGAATTTAGTGTATTCTTGAACCTCAGGTAATCCAGTCATACATAATAGGTTAACTTAATTTTCAAATCAGTGACCCTCATGGGGTCTGGTCTCTCTTCAAATCTCTGTGGGAGAATCCTAAACTTAGTTATGACTTTCATTTTTTGAAGTACTTTAGGGCTTAAAGTGCTTTCCCACAGTAGCCTTGTGAGATGGGTTTACTTAGAGGTAACCGAAGCTTAGAGAGGTGAAATGTGTCCCCTTTGGCACACAGCTAATAAGTGTTATACGCAGAAAACCCAGGTTTTCTGATTTAAAGTCTATCACCTTTATTGACCTGACCTTGCAAGATATTTGAAGATTAATTCAACCTCTTAAATACTTTGAAGGGAAAAAAAAACTACCAGCCTTCCAAAATTTTCCCAAAACTATTACATTACCTGGGCAAAACTATCTGTTGTTATTTATGTAAGATTTGATGCATGTTGTTGATTTTTGATAACCTGAAAAGGAAAATATACAAAATAGGACATTATCTTTTCCTGCAACATCCTCCCCTCTTAGAGCACCACTATCCTAGCCATTGAGATTAAAAAGCAAATTCTGGAGCTCTCATTTTTTTACTCCTCATATCCAATCAGTTGCCAAGTCTTACCAGTTTTAGTTCTATGACATATCTCCCATTTGTTTCCTCATTTCCATAGTCACTGTGATGTTTCATGTCTTTATTGCCTGTCTCTTGGAACTTTGCAATAGATCTTAGTGATTTCCCAAACCTTTAATCTTTTCCTTTCATTCTGTCCTCCACAAAACTGCGAAATTGATAATCCTAAAATACCAGTCTGACCATGTCATTGCCCTAATCAATACACTTAGTGGCTTCCTCTTTCTAGATAAAATGCAATTTCTGTTTGGATTTTAAAGCTGTTTACAGTCTGACTTGGGTTAACCTTTCTGGGTTTATTGCATGTTACTTTCCTTCATGTTCTCTGCATTTCAGTCAACAGCTTGCTTGTTGCTTTTTCATATATAACATTCTGTTTTCTGTCTCCCTTTGTTGGCACAGGTGTTTTCCCTCATTCTAGAAATGTACTTCCTTCTTATCTCAGCTTCATAGAATTCCTAGTTTCCTTGAAAGCTCAGCTCAGCATGTGCCTCCTCCTACAGGAAGCATATCCTAAATTCTTCAGTTTCCAGTGTTCTTCCCCTGAAAATTATTGTATATATTTTGTATTAACTCATCTGTGTTCATGTTGTTATAGTGTGTGTCCACTTATTTGTTCTCCCTCAATCCCCCTTCAGGAACTGTTTCAATTATATCTTTAGTACTCCTAGCACCTAGTATGTTATGTGGCACATTAGAGGCTTTTTAAATAACCGTTGCTGAATGAATGGATAAATGCTTAATTTTAGTCTATGGGTCATGTTTGATCTTGTAATCTGTAAAATGTATATAAAATGAAAAAAGTTATAAAAATGGTTATTATGATTTACTGAGAAAAATTTCAAACTAATATTAAAACAAATACTTCTTTGACTTTTGTGCTATCTGATTTTTTTTTTAGGTTTTTTGTGTTTGTTGAAATGTCTATGGTTTTATCTGCTTCAGTGGTTCGTGTACGAGATGGATTACCGCTTTCTGCTTCTACTGATTATGAACAAAGCATGGGAGTGCAGGAATGCAGAAAATATTTTAAATCACTCTCGAAGAAACTTGGTCAGCTTCCTGATAGATGTACACTGAAAACTGGACAATATAATATTAAGTAAGACTTATGCTTTGTGCATTAAAGTATTTACCTGATTGTCATTTTAATGAAGTTTAAGTAGTTCTGATACAAATTTGTGTTTTAATAAATTCTCAAATGGATCCATGATCTCATCAATTTGGATGTTTGTTCCAACGATGTAGATCGCAACCCATCTGTGCTTGCCCATACTGTACTGCTCTTGTCCATGTCCTGCAATAAATTCATAGCAGGAGAGGTCCACCCAATGTATTAGAAGCCTTTCACAGTTTCTCGTGGCATTTTGAGTATCTGATTATATTAAGAAAGTTCAGGATAATTCACATCAACAACCATCTGATCCTGAGCCTACTACAATAAATTTAGAAATCATTATTCTTTCTTTGGAATCTCTCTTACCGTTCCTAATTTACATTTGGCTTTTGAAGAGATTTAATTTTAGTAGATTACACATTTTCCTTTCTGTAAGTGAATAAATCAAGGATTTATTGAGCATTTACTCTATGTCCAGCATTGTGCTCTGTGCTTGGGGGAGGTGGGTGATCCAGAGAAGTCTTGTGTCTGCTGCCAAGGAGCTTATAGTGATAATAGTAAATGAGACAAACCTAAGGTGAATAAAATTGTTATAAACTGTGATGATGCAAACTGTGCAATTCAGTGCAACACATTTCTATTAAGCAACTCTCATGTGCAGAACGCTATTTTGGATGCTGGCTACTACTGTCATAGAAGCTCAGGAAAAGATTAGGAGGCAGTCAAATTAAAATTACATTGCTGATTTGTATGCTACAGTTTGATTTGGCACATGTGATATTGAGTTTTTTTAGGGGGAATAGCCGTGTAAATAAAGTGGGAAAATATATACTGAATTTGCTTGAGTACATCCTATAATCTAGTGAGATTATTGGTGGACAGAAAAATCAGGGAACCAACTTCGTTAAGGAGATGAGAATGATTTTTATCTTCATGGATGGGTACAAGTCTGGATTTAAATAGATAAAGGGAAGGTGCTTTGACCACAGCAGCAGCAGGTGAGTTAACTACTCTCTTCCTGCTTAGAGTGCTGTGATACTGGTGTATACTTGGGTTTATGAGGAGGTTGTCCCATTTGAAGTGGAGAGGACATGCTATAGAATGAGAAGTAAAGATGAGTAGAATGGGGCCAGATTATTGGAGAATTTTGAAAGCCAGGCTGTAGAGTTTGTACTTGATATAGCAGGCTGCTATTATAGTTTCGCAAGCAGGAGAATGACAGTAAACACAATATATTAGGAAAATTAATGTGGCAGCAGTATCTAGGATGTATTGAAGGTGGGGAAAAGAAAATAGAAGTGAGGAGCCAACTTGGATGCTGTTAATATGCCCTAATCCATAAGCCCGTAGCACTAAGGCATTGTTGATGACTATATTTTCCCATTTTTGGTTAGAAAAATATGGTTATTGTTGCAATAGAGGATGAAAGATGATTCTTATGGGCAGCTAGGTGGCACAGTGGATAGAACACTGGCCCTGGATTCAGGAGGACCTGAGTTCAAATGTGGCCTCAGACACATAACACTTAATAGCTGTGTGACCCTAGGCAAATCACTTTACTCCATTGACTAGGCCCCCACCCCCCACCCCCCAAAAAAAGAAAGATGATTCTTAAGTTTCTGGCCTGGGAAGACTGGAAGAAAAGTGCTGTCATTAGCAGAAATGGAGAAGTTAGGAAAGGGGACCTCTTTGGAGAGAAAGATCAATTCATTTTTTAACATGAGTCGAATAGCATTATGAGGTAGTAGAAAGAGTACTGTCACTGTGTCAGAATATCTGGTTTCTAGTTCACCTCTGCTACCATTAGCAGTGTAATTTATGCAGTTAAAAAATGCTTCTTTGGCACTTTATCAGAAACAAAAAAGTGGAACTAAGTGATTTCCAGTATCTCTTCTGGCAAAAAAAAAATGTAGATTCTGTGATTTTCTTTAAGTTTGAAGTAGTACAGGATATTCAAGTGGAGACACTGTGTAGACAGCTGGAAATAATGGAACCTCAGTACATGGTTCAAGGCTACAAATAGTAGATTTAGGAATTGATTACCCCTGGAATTAAGTCGTGGTTGCCACCACAAGAGTGTCCGAGTTCAGTTAAGTATAAAGAGGAAGGCATATGGCAAAGGGAATAGTCTTTGGTGACACCTATAGTTTTAAGATACTGTGATCAACTGGAATGCTTAGTAATGGGATATTAAGATTAAGTTTTCTGAGGGTAGAAAAAGTTATTTCAACTCATGTAGTTGACAGTCTTTCTAAAATAATATATTAATCTACTTTTCTAGGAAGTACAACATGCTGTTTTTTTATTTTTGTTTTTTGAAGTTTCTTAGATTATAGCATTGTTACCAATTATCGTTATGTAAAGCTGTATCTATATGTAGAAAAGGAACTGGAATGAATGTGTATTGACTTCAGGGCCAAAGCTTGGGACAGAATATTTCTTTACCCTAAGCAGAATTTGAAAATTGTACCCTCCTCTTCCCTGTACATTTCCCCTGCTCACCAAGATGCTAGGCTTACTCTAACACATGCAGCTTGACATACCAAAAAATAAAAACTTGTATGCTAGAGTGAATTTTCTGGCATTAAAAAATGTCCATTTGTGAAAAAAACAATATCAAAAAGTGTTCTCTGTTGTGTCCTGTGTATTGGATCTTAGGCAGGTGCCTACTTTGCCTGCTCGTAGTTCGAGCTTTCCCAGGACTTACTTTTGTGAGTTGTTTTGAATTTTTGTTTGTTGGTATGTTTTAAAATAAATCCCTGATAAAGGATGGTGTTTGTGTGCTATTTGCTTCTTTCTGTTAAAAATGGAATGTAACCATAAAATATTAAAATACAAAAATCTAATTAATTGAGAGTTCTAATTAGTTGGGTTCTGGTTCATTGTGATTTTGCTGTATATGAAAAATTTGCTCTCAAAACATTGATCCCTCTAATATATATAGATATTTAATTTATGTTATTTGAACTGTTAGTTATTAAATTTTAAAGCCCCCTGCTAGTACAGTGGGTAGAGTCACTGAAGCTTTTAGCAAAGCCTTGAAAACTCTGACCATGCTGATCTTTCTCCTAAAATAAACAAAAGTTTATAGTTTTATTGATTTTTTTAAATAATGAACTACCATTAGGGGCTCTATTGCCATCTCATTACTCTTCACTTAGGAGAATTTTATCTTTATCTGAAAGGTGAGCTCAAAACTTAACTGTACTATGAAACCTTTCTAACCAGCTCTTTTTCTGAATTTCTATAGAAGTAATTATGTGTGCCATTTATTTGGGATTTACCATGTTTCACTTTGTGTTGTTTAATTTTTGTATATTCTTCCTATTCTGTAGTTTTTTTGGCAATATACTTGTTTCAACTTAAATTCAACGATGCTTATAATGTAGAAGTATGACTGTTTAACCTAACTTTCCACTGTACAACAATATAACTGTCAATTACTTGCTATAAGACCTTCAGCAAATAAGCTATTTTGTTCTTCAGTTTGTTAATTTTTTAAATGGTGGTATTGCTTATGAAAATGAGATGGTTGATATTTTTGTAATACTTTCTATAGAACTTGAAATATTTATGGAAGCTTCTTTGAAATCACAAGTTTAACTTTATGATGAAATTTATAAGTGACAAATGATTAATGCAGCAACATGTACCATATAAAAATTAAATCACTAAAATTTATGAGAATTAAGAAAACCATGATTAGTCTCTGCCTCTTTTTGTCCCAGTTAGTAGCAGTAAATACTTTTTTGTTTAATTATTATGATTCAGTAGCAGTGTACTTGGGTAGTTATTATTTACAACTTACTGTTTATTATAATTTGTGAAGCATAAATGTGTAGTTGAACCCAGAGTTTTAAAAGGGTTGCTAAAACGTGATAAAACTTGGAACTTTGTAACTAAAGGCATAAAGCCTATTAACTCTGTTGGGGCTGTGAGAGAAGGGTCCATCCTATTTGCCCTCCATCCATTTAAGAGATCAGATGAGAAATTTCTCCTTACTTTTTCTTGCCTGGAGACCTTGGGCAAAAGCACTGGTGAGTACTCCTGTTAAAAATATAAATATGTATTTCCTGGACACTACCAGTTCATCTAAATTAGTGAGTTCTCTTTTAAAATACAGAACCATCCCCAATCCTCATTAAGCCATTTGGTTGTTTCACATTTGAGCTTGATTATACAATCAAGACTAGACTGTCCCCTAGATAAAATATGAAAGCTCTCTCTGACAAACTTATCTCCTTAGATGTCAGTTAATTTAAAAGCCTCTAATGGCAGTGAGCCTCTTTGCTTTTCTGCAGTGGCACTGTTTATTCTCACTTATGCCAGCCTAGACTTTCAACCATGCTGCTTGTGGATTTTTTATTTCTTTTGTACTGTCTTCTAGTCCTGTATTATCCCCATTTCACTACAGGAGAAGAATTATTGAGTTTGTTTGGTGGACTGGGGAACTTTTTCACCTAGTACCCCCTACCCTTCATCGTCTGGAGAAGGGAAGTGGTTAATCATGGGAAAGAGATGTAAAATCCATCCCTTTTCTGACTTTGCTTATTTACTAGGATGTTTGGAAAGTGATCTGAGCCAACTCTCTTGACCTGTTTTGCTCCACTTTTAATTCAATTCATCAAACATTTATCAGGTACCTACTCTTAAAATATTCCTTGTTCTCAGGGAACTTATATTCAGGGATAATAGGGGAAAGAATTAAACAAGATACCTTCTTGGGGGAACAATTCAGATTGGGGCACAATTGAGACCTGGTATTAGGGGAAGGTGGGCAGTTACCTGGAGCTGAAGTTCCAGATGGAGAGAAACAGAGGTCCTAGGGCAAGGGATGAGCTAACCTTCCCTGAGGAAGGAGGATATCTACACATATGCTCAAGCACCAGCTTTGTGCATAAAGAATGAACTTATCACATTTCATTGTTTTTCTGTATTGCTTAATTGCTGATATTTCAGAGGTGGTGTTTTGTACTATTTGGTGT